GTGGAGGGGAGGAGGCACCAGAGGCATTTTCTTAGGTCAGGATAGGATTAGGAAGAGGGGTGGTAAGTGCTGTCCTTAACCACTTGGCCACAGTGTAGGGCAAGTTGCCTCTCCCTGGGCCTCCACTGATAGGAAGAAATTTCTATGAATGAGTGAATCCATGTATTAATGTCAAAGGTCTCTTGGCTGGAAAATGCCAGAGCTAGGATTAAACTAGAAGCTTCTTCTCTCTAGTTTCCCAGGAGCCCTATCTTTGTTCCTTGAGACCCTTGACATACAAGGTCTTCCCTGAGCCTGGCCTTCATAGCCACCTGGTTACTAAGATATGGGCAGAGGGGCCTCTTCCATTCCCACCCCAAAAGGGACCTTGGCCCCAGTCCCAGCCTCTGAAGCTTGCCCTCCATCTTGCAGATTGGTCCTTCCCGATTCCGGGCACCTGAGCTGCTGTTCAGGCCAGACCTGATCGGTGAGGAGAGTGAGGGCATCCATGAGGTGCTGGTGTTTGCCATCCAGAAGTCTGACATGGACCTGCGGCGCACACTTTTCTCTAACATTGTCCTTTCAGGAGGCTCCACCCTGTTCAAAGGTTGGTCTTTGCTCTCGGGGCCCTTCCCCAGGAAGCTTCCAGATCCTGCTGGACCCAGACACCCAGAGAATTGACTCGAGATTCTCTTTTCCTGTCCATTCAGGTTTTGGTGACAGGCTACTGAGTGAAGTGAAGAAACTGGCTCCGAAAGACGTGAAGATCAGGGTAGGAGCATGCTGGGGGCTGGGGCTGGGTGTAACTGGGCCTCCAAGGGTCTGGAGTGCCCATGGTATGGCCTCCCCTCCAGCTTTGCCCAAGCTTTTCGGGCAGCCAAGCCTATACAGGCACTGCCAGATGGCTCCCTGCTTCCACGCTCACCCTGAGGTCTGCCAGAAGGGAGGACCCATTCTCACTCTCCCTCTTCACAAAAGGAGGGCATGTCTGATACCCAGATGTGGCAGGGTGCTAGGCTCAGGGCCCCACATGTGGTCTTTCAGGGGGACTAACAATGACAGGAGATTGGCTTTTACTGCTCCCCTGTGACACAGTCCAACATCTTAGTGACGGCTGAGGGGAGCTAGCCTGGCTGAGGAAGGAGGGATCCTAAATGAAGGATTGTGGCTCCTGCCATGGAATCTGCTTCCCCTTTGCCCCTCACAGAGCCGAATCTTGCCCCCAGAGAGCCCCAGTTTCCCTGGGAACTATGGATACTTAGGGCTGCTGGAAGCTGTCTTCTCCAGATGAGTGTCAGGCTGGTCACAGTACCGCCCAGAAAGCCCACAGAGTCCAACAGGGCCATAAGTTAAAGCCGGTTGTGTGAAATATATCTATTGCCTTGGGCAGTGAGAATTGGCCATAAAGATGAGCCTTGGAAGGGAAAGGGAGAAGGGAGGATGAAAGTCTCAGGTTCCTCTTTCCACCCACCCTTGCAGATATCTGCACCTCAGGAGAGACTGTATTCCACATGGATTGGGTGAGTAGCTCTTCCGGAAATAAGAGCGGAAGAGGAAGCAAAGGCATTGATTACCCCTCACTACCCCACCCCTTTAAAGAAAGGCCTGATCTAGTTTGGCCCCATGGGGACTGGCTGCCTCCACCAATACCCACTCCCTCCCTCTCTCTCTCACGATGTTCCTTTGGATTCCCTCCACTCCAGGGGCTCTATCCTTGCCTCCCTCGACACCTTTAAGAAGATGTGGGTCTCCAAGAAGGAGTACGAGGAAGACGGTGCCCGATCTATCCACAGGAAAACCTTCTAATGTTGGGACATCATCTTCACCTCTCTCTGAAGTTAACTCCACTTTAAAACTCGCTTTCTTGAGTCGGAGTGTTTGCGAGGAACTGCCTGTGTGTGTGAGTGTGTGTGTGGGTACGAGTATGTGTACATATGCGAGTGCCGTGTGGCCCAGGGAGCCCAGGGCCCAGAAAGGACGATGAACTACCCACGATGGTGATGGCCTGAGGCCTGGGGTTGACCACTACCTGGCCCCTGGCAAGGAAGAGTGCCGGCAGAGGGCCCCACTCCTTCGCCAGCTGGGCCTTTGTCTGGTTGTGTGGGACTATGTTTACTACCATAGGGAGACAGAGAGGGAGGTAAACCCAACCCCCGAGTGACCTTGCTGCTGTCCATCCTAGGCTGGGCTAGCCCCACCCCCACTGCACCCTCAGGGTGCCCTGAGGCCCAAGGCAGCTGCTTCCTCCCTTGCTCATCATTCTGCTCTCGATGCTTCTTGATCGTGGACTGAGGACGGGTGCCAGGGTTGAGTTCTGTCTGGTTTTGTTACAGTTTGGGTTTGGGAGGCTGGAAAAGCACTCCAGGAGTTACTGAGACTCTGGGGTGAGGAGAAGGCAGGATGCCCTCAACTTCCCCTGGGGACCAGGACCACACTGGGCATTTGAGAAGGGCAAGAGTCGCGCTACTTCTGATTGGCAGTGGAGTCAGTGCTCTAATTCCCAGCCCCATCCAGGGGGTCTCAGGAGAGTTTGAGAAGCCTGTTGGCCCCAGGCCCTCTTAATTGCTTTCCATCCATCCTTGGGCAATGCCATCTTCACAGTTTTATTTATTGAAGTGTTTGTTCAGTATGGGGACTGGAGCGAGGGGGCTCATCACCTCCTGCCCACCAGTCACCATGTTCACACTAATGTTTACAGCACCTAAGCTTAGCGTAGCATCCAGGGCCCTGCCACTCCTTGCTAATGGGGAACTGACAGTATCCATAGGCCTCAGGACCATTTGGGATCGGAGGCTACACTCAAAGTCACTCCCATAGCCTCTTTCTTTCTCTGTCTTCTACTTGCTCACTGCCCTGGAATCAACAGGCTGGTTGCTGGTTGTATTTTCTGAAACAGGAGGTAGAATCACTCTTTGGCAGAGACCCCTAGCAAAAGAGGGGTATTGGGGATCCAGCCCCCTTAGGACTGGAGAAAGAGCCTCAATTAACCACGTTGCCTTTTCCCACTCTAGCCAACCCAGTGGGGCTAGACTGTAGAGGCAAAAAGGCCCCCTCTGGGCTGACTTGTGCCATTCTAGACTTTGGACTTGTTTGGTTAGAGTGGGAGGGGGTCAGACCAGAGTGCGAGGAGCTCATGGGCTGAGACTCATCTTTCTGGTCCAGTGGGGCCAGGTGCCGACCCTGGACTGGGCTGGCCTAGCAGTGGTCCAAAGGCTCCTCAGCCCAGATGGTCAAAGCTGGGGCTAGCAAATCTTCACCGGCACCCTCATCTGTAACACCAAGACCTGCCCCAATCCCAGAGTCCAGGCAGTATTCTCCCCCATGCCGTCCAACGACCAAAGGCCCTGCCAGGTGTGGGCCGCAGCAGCAGGTGTGTGTGAAAGCTATGTGGCGACCCGCGGACTGCAGTGTGCTTAACCAGATCACCTCCCTTCTCTTAGCCCAAGCCTGTCCTTTGCACAGCCTCGCACAAACCACATTGCCTGGTGGGGCCCAGTGTACTTAAATAAAGTCGTTCCCATAGACACGTCGGCTGGTCATCTGTACACGTTGCTGGGTGGGAAGGCCAAGCTGCAAACCCTGAAACTGAGGCAGTGACTGGGACTGGTCGTCCTCTAGAGGGCACTGTTGCACCAGCCAGACTTGTCCAGACCTTAGCCTAAGTCCCAGCGGTCAGGTGGATGCAGAAAAGAGGGTGTTCAGGCCAAAGCCCAGGTTCAGGAACTGAGGGTCCCAGTCCTGTGTACACACTCAAGCCCACAGATCAGACTTCATCCCGAATAAAGGGAGCCACTCTTGACATCCCTGAAGTCAGAGGCTCTTAAAACTTCCATGTGGGGGCCGGCCTCGTGGAGAAATGCTTAAGTTCACGCACTCCACTTTGGCGGCCCAGGGTTTCACCAATTCGGATCCTGGGCGCGGACTTAGCACTGCTCATCAAGCCACGCTGAAGCGGCATCCCACATGCCACGAGTAGAAGGACCTACAACTAGAACATACAACTATGTACTGGGGGGCTTTGGAGAGAAGAAAAAGAGGAAGATTGACAACACATTGGCTCAGGGCCAATCTTTAGGGGAAAAAAAAAAACTTCCATGTGGACAAGAAGCTTGAGAGCTTATTAAGATGCAGTTCAGATATTCTGATTAATCAGTCCTCCATTCTAAACCTGTATGTTGCGGGGTGGGGATTGCCAGGCACTTTGCAAATGTTAACCTATTTGAGCCTCCCAACAACCCTATAAAGTGCAGGTATTTTTATCATCCACTTTACAGGTGAGGAAATAGAGCCACAGAAAGATTATGTCATTTCCCAAAGCTCTGCCCTACATTAGCCAGAATTTGAACTCAGGCAGTGTGGCCCTAGAGCCTCTTATTAGCCACTGTGCAGACCCTCAAAACACCATTGGCCTAGAGCAGTGGTTCCTAATTAAGGACAATTTTGCCCCCCAGGACACACTTGGCAACATCCGGAGATGTGCTTGTCACAACTTGCAGGGGAGATGCTGCTGGCATCCAGTAGGCAGAGGCCAGGGATACTGCTAAATACCTACAACAAGGAACTACGCGGCTCCACATGTCTCAGTGCTGAGGCTGAGAAACATGGCCTGGAGCAGAGGCTCTCAGTCCCAGCTGCAGGCTAAAATCCCCAGAGCTTTCCTAAACCCCAGTGCCCAGGCCATACCCCAGACCCAGGAAATCAGAATCTTGGGGAACAGAACTCAGACATCAGCCATTTTGAAAGCTCCCCAATGACTCCAAGCTGAGGACAAGCGGCCACTCTTCCTTGCTCACCATGTCCAGCAGTGGTACACGGGAAACGCACTGGGGCTATGGCCCAAGTTTTCGCTCCCCAGTGCCCACACAGCTATGGGTCTGCACACACTCCCTGCTACCTCAGTGAATCTGATGCAGGTGGCTGCCACTCATCCTTGGGAAAATGTTCTCAGGGTGCTTTTCTGATTAAGTGAAGAATCCTGTTCCCCAACCCACCACTCCCACACACAGCACAGACCTCAGGAATGGGAATAGAAATGGCTGACTTTAATCAGTCTATGAAATGAACCTCTTTTAGAGGCCAGGTAGGGGTGGGGGAGCCCTGCCACAGTGGGGCATGCTACTTCAGGCACAACTGAAGCAGAGAACTCTGAGAGAAACCAGTGGAAGGGTGGCAGGAGGGGGCAGGGGGGACTTAGAGTCAGCTTTCCCTGACTGGGTGAAAGTGGTTCCTGAGCCCACGCGGAGAGCCAGCCCCAGCCAGGTAGTGGGAGAAGCCTCCACGCCCCACAGCCACCCCATGTGACCACAGGGCAGCCCCACCCCTTCTTGGTCCTCTTCTTCTTCCTGCCCCATAGGGAGAAGCAGGTCCCTGAGCACACAGAGCCCAGCCCTTGCCCAAGCTGGGCCAGAGAGCGAAGCAGGAACTTAGACCTCAGTGACACTGCTGGCTCAGTCCCAGAAGCTCCCATGTTATCGGTGTTCCAGGCAGCACCCCAGGAAGGCGGAGGAGCAGGACGCTAGGCTGGCAAAAGCGGCTCCTGCCCGGGGCTGCAGGCAGTGTCCTTAGCAGGCTGGCCTTGCCACACCTCTCACACCGTCTTAACGTCCAGGGTTTGGGCCCGTGACAGGTTCTGGCGCTGGGCTTTGACCATATGCAGGCGCCTCCCATGCAGCGTGAACTGGGACCAGGTGAACAGCTGCAGCAGAGCACAGGTGATGGGCACCAGCACCAGCAGGTAGAAGCAGCCCTGGCGGAGTGTCGGGGCCTGCGCTGGGGGCGGGGCCGGGGGCTCTGGCCAGGGCTGGGCACTCCCCACAGGGGTCAGTGGGGGCTGGTGGAAGAGATCATGACCTAGGATGAGAGCATGAAGAATACAGTCAGCCCTGGTCTCCTCCAAAGTCCACAGAGCCACATCTCAAATGTCGCACGTACACATCCAAACCACAACTCTTGATTCCTCCCCCAAACTTGCTTCTCCTTGCTCTTGCCTTCTCGGGGAACCGCACCACCATCCACCCAATACCTCAAAGTCTTACTAGATTCCTCAGTTAACTTCACCACTCCCCAGCAGCCAATCCTTCACCTCCCCCAACTCCAACACACACCCAAACCCAAATACTTCTTCCCAACCCCTGGCCCCACCTGCTCCAAGCCTCCACTGCCTCTGCTACAGCCTTCCTGCAATCCATTCTCCATACAGCAGTCAGAGGGAACTTCAAAACAACGCAAATCAGACCATGCCACTCCCCTGCCTAAACCCCTCCCAATAGCTTCTGTTTGCACAGAGAAATATCCAAACTCTGCCCTGATCTACAGAGCCCTCATCCCCTAGCCACTCCGGATACCTCGGGCATTCACACTTGCCACTCCCTCTGTCTGGGATTCCGAGATCTCTCTAGACCAAATCCTTGCCATTCAGTTCATATCCTGCTGTCACCTCCTCGGAGAGACCTTCCTGGACTACACTAAGTAGCTTCTCAGTCACACGGTCTATTTTTCCCATGGCACTTACCACTACCTGCTATTCTCTTGTTTGGCTGTTTATTGCAACCCCTCCTCCAACTAGAGTATAAGCTCCATGATGGCAAAGATCTTGTCTGTCTTATTCATCGTTACCTCCTGAGAGGCACCTAGAGCAGCACCTGGCAGGGAAGGTATTCTAGACCTATTTGTTGAATGAATGAATGAACTATTGAAAGAACGGAAGAATCAGAGACCCAGTTCCCCCATGTGGGGAGAGGCAGAGGAGGGGTGGCAGCCCGGGGCGGCCCAGGCCCAGCCTCTGTCGGCTGGTTGCTATTCTCTCCCCTTACTGGACCTACAGCCCAGGCTTGCCAGCTGGTGTACCAGGTAAGCTGTGCCCCCTGGAGCCTTGAGAACCCCGTGCCAGCCCCCAGGCCCCACCTGTGTAGAAGCACAGCAGCCAGGTGCCCAGCAGTGGTGCGAAGGTCTGGCCTGGCTTGGTCACCAGGGCCACCATGCCAAAGAGAAGCGCGGAGGCCGCCTGCTTGCGGTGGTTCAGCACCAGGTCCTCGTCCACCAGGTCGGTGACCACCAAGGTCAACAGCTTACAGGTGCCCTCAGTGAAGACACGGTTGCTGCCAGCAGAGAGAGCGGGCCAGAATGAAGGGGTGAGACAGAGGGGTGAGGGTGAGGGAGGGCAAAGCATACCTGGCAATGAAGAGGCAGAGCAGGCCAGGGCGGTCGGGGCCAGCCAACAGCATAAGCAGGCTCAGGCCCAGCTTGAGCAGGAAGAGCCCCCGCACCACAGTGTAGACTCCCCAGCGCCGGCACAGGGGCAGGAAGTAGAGGTTGTTGAGATGGGGAGCGACGTAGGAGATGCCTGAAGAGAAGGGGTGAAGCCTCGTCAGGGGACACTGCCACAGCTCCCACTATCACCCACACTTTAAGATTCAGAATCAGAGTTTGCATTGATTGAACACTAACCATGTGCAGGCTCTGTGCTAAGAGCTTCATGTCCTTTTATTTAATCCTCACAATGCTTTAAGGTAAGTCTCATTATTATCCCTACTTTACAGACGAGAAATGTAGGACCAAAGAGATTAAATAGAAACACGAAAGGCCGCACAGTGAATAAGCAGAGTCAAGACGCACACTTGGGCCTGTCAGACTTAATCTTCACTGTTAACCAGCCACTGCACCACATTACCTCTGGGTGGCACCATCACCAAGAGGACCACCATGAGAGCAGCCCCACCCCTTCACACCCATAACAGGCTCCCGTCCCTTCCTCCAGAAAACAGAGCTGGGGGCTGCGGAGGTGCAACTTCTGCCACCTGGGCCCCAGCTGGAGAGGTGGCTGTGCCTGCAGCTGGGCTAGGGGTTTTGGGGTGCAAGCCTCTGTCCTTCTAGGCTGCCCGAGGCACCCACTCACCCAACAGGAAGGAGCCCATGGAGAGGGAGATGTGGTCTGACAACAGATGCTCCAGGAAGAGGGGGAAGAAGTTGCTGTTGAAATGGCAGTGAAAGACCTGCAACCCAACAGCAGCAGTGAGGAGGTGCAGGGAAGGGGGGTGCCGGGAACAGGGCGAAAGCCCACGGGAGAGCAGCAGGAGCAAGAGCAGCCTTTTATCCCCATGTCCCTCAACATGCAACATGCCAGAAAACCTAAAACCAAATTCCTGTTGCTTATCTAATTTTGCTAAAAGTTAGCAGGAATGATCAAATCGTCATTAGAAAAATTAAAAGTTTTTTATTTTTATTGAAAACACCTTAGTAAAAGAAGCTTAATGACATAAAAACAATCTACTTCTAAATTTGGCTAGCTTACATACTACATGTGTTTTAGGTGTGGCACTTGGTGTTTTAAAAAGATTGTCACAGAGTCCCCAAAGGGGCATCTCTTTTTTATATCCCCACTTTGCTGGTGAGGATGTGGCTGCCCAGAGAGACTGAGACCTGCCTAAGATCACACGGGGAGTTAGGAGCTCAGATGGTGCTAGAATCCAGTGTCCTAACTACCCAACCTGTGTTCCTGACATCAAATCACCCAGCAGTCCTCACTCGAGGGCCAGTATTGATTTCCCAGTTTTTGAGGAGCCTGTTCCCTTGAGTGAGGCATACTGTAGCCATCCTGGGTTGGGGTGAAAAGTGGGGGGACTGCTCCCATACCTGTACCAGGTCCATGCCCACGAACCACAGGAAGTTCCGGTGGTGTGCCAGCTGCCGGAGGTACTGGCCCAAGGTGATGCTGCCCGCCTCCTCACCGCCTGCAAGTGGCTCCTCTCCACACAGGCTACCGGGCAGAGGGGAGTCAAGAATGGCCCAGAGTTGGGCCACAGGGCAGCCACCATCAGGGGACCCAGGATTGAAATCACACCAGGTAGAGTGCTGGTGGGATCCTGGAGAGCTGGGGCTGACTACTCACCTGCCATCCACGGCCAGGGCTGGGTACCCTGGATCCCTGCCAGCTGCCTCAACCCGCCGCTTCAGCAGCCGTGTGGCCCCCACAAAGCCCAGCCCAGAGCCAGCGGCCAGTGCCACGCAGAAGACGCGGAAAGAAGAGAAGTCCTCTTTGTCCCAGAAGGCATAGGAGGCAAAGACAGAGAGGGAGCCAGCCGCACTGAAGAGGGAGCAGTAGAAGTTGAGGTGGGTGCGGTCGTGGGCTGAGAGGGCCAGGTCAGCCAGCAAGGCGTGATGGTGCAGGTCCACGAGCGTCAGGAAGCCATCATAGAGGCACAGGCACAGCAAGAACTGCAGGCCAGCTGGGGCCCAGGGCACCCAGAACGCCAGGAATGACAGTGCCAGCAGCGGCCCGTGCCAGCCCAGTGCCCGCACCCGTGCCAGCACCACGGCCCTCGAGGATAGCCCGGTGCCCAACCTGCCAGGGAGAGGAGGGCTGTTGGGAGATGCCCTCAGAGCCTTGGCAGGCCCCAGTTCCCCCTGCCCCAAAGGAAGGACAGAGGCCCAGAGTGTGAGACTCACACAGGGTGAGACTCTCACAAGGTGGCGCCACTGAGCCCCGAGTCCTCAGCCTCCAACTTAGGAAGCACAACTCACCACTGGGTACACTCTTTTCTCTGCTCCCTTGCCAGCCTGCCAGGGCTGATGGCCAAAGGGTGGGGGATACCCATTTCTCAGTGCTAGGGGCAGTGATGGACCCAAGCAGGGATGGGGTGAAAGAATCTGCCAGAAGCAGCAGAGGGTGTTTGCTGTACAGTGCCCAGTTCTGAGTGCCCTACAAGCCAAGCTGGGGTGAATTTCTCCCCCAGGAGAGCAAAGCAACAGTTGGTCCAGGCCACTTCTCCAACCCGGACACAGCCTGCCCTGACCCTGGGGAAGGGAGGAAGCCTGGACGACAGCTGAAAATAGTCTCCCTTTTTTTCTCCACCCAAACACAGGCAGGGGTCCTCCAGCACTGCGGTAGGGTGGGGTGGGACTGGACCAGTTATGAGCCAACCCCAGGACACAAACCGGGGCTGGGAGCTGAGGAACTGACGGTCACTCAGCCAGCCGAAGAGGGGGTCATTGAGGCTGTTCCAGAGGAGAAACACCGTCTGTAGGCAGAGGGGAGACGGGGCAGGTGGGCTCCGGGCAGCTCCTCTCCAGGCCTTTCCCTACCCCAGCCTGCTCGCCACCCCTCAAAGATGACTCCAGCTTTCCTGCCTGCAAATCTTTGCTCAGGTCAGTCCCTCTGCTAAAACCCCCTCTACCAGCCACTGCCCCAATCAAACTCCCACCCATCCAGGGCCCAGCTGGTAAATGCAACCAGCTGATAAATTAATATATGTGAATATATTTTATTACATATATGAACACACAGAACAGTGCCTGGCTCACAGGACAGTGGCCAGGGGTGCTGGTGTAATCCCCACTGAGGAGGAGTCATCAAAGCTTCCAGCTCCAGCTTTTCTTGCTGAGTCTTGGTAGGCAACCTGGCCCACCCCATGCTCCTGACCAGGGGTCCCTGTACTGCAATCTGCCCAGCTCCCCTGGGCTGGCCCCCCAGCACTGGCCTACCTCTCCAACCCAGAAGGCAGCTTTGTTGATCTTGTACACTGAGACAAAGGTGTCCACGTAGTAAAGCAGGAACACGTTGTGCAGGACAGAGATGAAGAGGGCCAGGGAGCCATAGACCACGGCTGTGGGCAGGCCCAACAACCAGGCCTGGGGCCTGCCCAGCCCCATGGCTGCCAGCCCAGCCTCAGCCCCGGGAGAACTGAGGAGTGCTCATGGCCATGGGCAGTCTGGCCATCCTTGTCTCTGGGGAAGAAGAAGCCAGTTAGCTGCAGGGATCAGAGCCAGCTCTGTTCCTAACCCCAGATGTCTGAGTCATTTAAAAACTCATTTCCACTGGGAGAAAGTTTGTGCGTAAAACAAAGCTGGGGAATCATTAATGACGCAGAGCTGAAACAATGCTGGGCTAGATACCACCACCCGGGAGCAACCCAAGGAAGCTGATAAAGGCGTGGGAAGGGAAGGCAGGCATCCAACAAGTGCTGAGCCAGGTCGTGTGCTGGGCAGTGTGCTCAGTATCTTCTTTCATCCAGACTATCCAACCTTAACGGTCCAGACATAACAACCCTGGGCTTGGGCACATGATGTACCTACAGTGTAACCTCAGGCAAGCTGCTTAACCCAAGCCTGTCTCCACTTCTGTAAGAGGGAAAAGGGGACGATCATGACTACTCTGCAGAGGAATGCAAGGATTAAGTAAGACAACTCAGAGAAAGTGCTCAATAAATGGATGTTGGTGGTGTCATTATTATCTTTATAAAATCCCTACAAAGTTTATAGCACTATTACAGTGTTATAGGAGAGCAACGCCAAGCTCAGAGATGTTAAGTAATTTGCCCAATGTCACACAGCAGAAAAGTAGCAGATGGAACCCTGGCCTGTCTGGCTCCAAAGCCTTTTCTGCCACTTGACCTCCCAAACTGGGCTCCTGTGAACTGCTGGGTGGAATGGAGAAAGCTGCTGTGATGTCAGGTTCCAGAGGTTTATAACAATGATAAGATGCGATAAGAGTCCAGAACTGCTTACACACTTTGATTCCAGAAATTCCAGTTGAAGGAACTAATCCCAAAGGAACGTGTAGAGAGATGTTCGTGGCAGCAACATTAATAAAGAGCAAAAAGTTGGACACAGCCCAAGAAGGCAACAAAGGGACTGGCTCGGCAAGCCCAATGCTCTCCAGAAAGGGCAATCACGTGGGCGACCTCCACACATGGGACAGAAACTCAAGAACATGTTACATGAAGAGAGAACAAAGGACAGCAAGGGTGCATGGCTTCCAACCAGGCCGACTCGTGCACAGCCTGGCAGGCTAGACGGACCATGAGTGGGAAAGGAAATAAAAGTCGGATTTTTACTAGAGCAGCGCTTCTCAAAGTGTAATGTGCTTTCAAGTCACCTGGGGACTTTGTCAAAATGTAGATTTTGACTCAGTAGGTCTGGGGAGGAATCTGAGATTCTGCATTTCTAATCCAGGTGATGTCCCAGGTGACACCGAGACTGCTGGTCCATGACCACACGCTGAGCAGCGGGGCATTAAGTCTATCTGTCTCTTATTTTAGACTCAAAGTTGCTGTTCTCTTTTCAGAAAAATAACCTCATGTGTGCTTATCTGACCCCCAGAGGGAAGCTATGGGGTCTTCCTTCTCTCAAACTCCCTGTTGCAAGTTGAATTGTGTCTCCAAAAAAGATATGTTCAAGTCCTAACCCCTAGTACCAGTAACTGTGACCTTATTTGGAAATAGGATCTTTACAGATGTACCCAAGTTAAGATGAGGTCAGACTGAATTAGGATGGGCCCTAATCCAATGGCTGGTATCCTTATAAGGAAACAGAAATTTGGACAAGAGACAGACATACACAAAGAGAAGACGGCCATGTGAAGACGAAGGCAGAAACTGGAGTGATGCAGCTACAAGTCAAGGAGCGCCAAGGATTGCAGGCAACCACAAGAAGCTAGGAAGACGTGAGGAAGGCTTCTCCCCCAGAGCCCCCGGAGGGAGCGTGACCCTGCAGACGTCTTGATTTCAGACTTCTACCCTCCAGAACTATGAGAGAATAAATTTGGGTTGTTTTAAGCCACCTGGTTTGTGGTAACTTGTCACAGCAGCCCAGGAAACATACACATCTCCAGGGGCTGTTCCTCTGCGAGTCCTCGTGACCCAAGCCTGCCCATGGGCCTCATCTACATTTCTGTGCACACACACTCACACACGGAGCCAAAACTTCTGTTTCCCATCAGGGTCAGGGCTTGGAGAGCCAACTTCAGCCCCAGTACAAGAGTAATGACCCACAGGACCTGTCCTTGCCCCATCACCCACCAGGGGTCCCCATCCCTGCCCAGCCTTCAAGAGCCTCTGCAATCCCGCCTCTCCCAGGCTGTCTAGGCCAGCTTCCCTTGGGTCTTCAAGCCACCCTCTCCTCTGGCCAGGCCTTTGTTCTTGCTAGCGCCTCCCACCAGAAACACCCCCCCCCCCCATCTCCTCATCTCCAATGTCACTCATCCTTCAGGAGCCAGCGCTGTGTCCAGACCTTCTCTCACTCCTTAGGTGCTCACTGATGCCTCCTGCCCCCACTCCAACCTGACTGTGGGGTCTTTGAGGACAGGGCTTGGGTCTTGGCCCTCTATCTCCCTCTCAGGGAGAATGGGTTGACTCGACAACTCTTGCTGTGGGAGGGACTGGCTGGTAGAGAAAGAGGCTCTGAGGGGAGAATAAGGAGGGAATCTCACTGGGATCTCTCAGGGTCACTGGAAGCTGAGTGCAATCACTCAAGAGAGCTGTATGCAGCCCCACCCCCCACCCCTGGACCAGTCTATGCCTAGTGGTGGGAGAACGAGAGGAGAAGTGGACAAAACTACCTGAAACCAGCCATTAAGTCTGTGAGAATCTTCCCTGGGCCACAGTGATGCTACCTTGCCCCAAAGCAGGAGGACGGCCAGGTGGTCTCTCCCTGGGGCCCTTGAGCCCGAGGGAACATTTAGTGGAAAATGCTTCTCTTTTTTCACAGCTTTATTGAGGTATAACTGACATACAATAATCTTCACATATTCAAAGTGTGCAGTCTCATCAGTTTTAACATATGTATGCACCTGTGAAACCATCACCACAACTGAGACCACGAACAGATCCGTCACCCTAAAGCTTCCTCGGCACTTTCTAAGTAATGTAGTGGAAAGAAGACACACTGGAGGTCCTGAAGTCCTGACTCTCCCATTGAACTACCTGGAAGACCTGGAGCAACTTGCTTAACCTCTCTATGCCTGTTTCTTGATCTGCAGTGGGGGGCCAACCTTCCTAAAGCTATTGTTAGCCGTCAACAGAAGATACTCTAAAGCTCTTGGCACGGTAAATGCGGTGAGCACTCTAGACATTATTACCATCAAACCTCTCAGGCCTTCCATCCCCACCTCACAGGATGGGGCGGGGATTAATTATGTACACAATGTACACCTCTGTTACTATCCTTAACCCAGGTCACTTTCTCTGATTCCCCAGGGCCTTTCAGAACTCCCCCACCTCACCTCCGAAGCCTTTGGCCAAGGAAGTGAAGCACCCTCCCCCACCTCCCCACCCTCTACCCAGATGTCCAGTGACCAGCCCCGGTTGCTGTGGAAGGCGAACCCTGCAGGCAAGGTCCCCAGCTTCCACAGTTGGCTTCCTGCACTCTGGGGCAACAGTAGAAGGAAACCTCAAAGGGTGGTGAGAATGGAAAGGGTATGACTTTTGCTATCAGAAGGGCCTAGGTTTAAATCCAACTGCACTTCCTACTGAGTATAACCTCAGGCAAGTCACTTAACGTGTCTGTAAAATGGGGGTAATAAGGCCTATCATTACAGGGGTGCATGAAGGATTAAACTAAAGTCCAGGAAGCCCAGAGTACTGTGCCCATCACACGGAAGATGTTCAGAAACTGGCTTTTTCTTGGGCTCACTTAGATCAAGGCAGGAGCAGGGGAATATCCTGCCCCTTCCCATGGTAAAGCAGTTCAAGAGAAATGACAGGGTACGAAAACGAAAGTCAGAAGAAGAGGGCCTGCAAGGAGCAGGAAGACATATGATGTTCTGGAGTGCCAGAGACTAACCCCGACCACAGACCAGAGCTGCAGGCAAAGCCAGCTGTCGAAGTAAGTCTCTGCCCGGGAGAGGGAGCTGGTGGAGGAGTGTGCAGGGCACTCCAGCGGTTCCTCTTCCGGATTGTGCTCCTCTAGCAGGAAACACCTTCTCCTACTAGCCCTCCCCACCCTCAATCCACCTCAACAGAGAACAGCCCTGCCTCTCCTGGGCAGGAACAGCTTGGAGCCCACACCAGCCTAGCCGTACAACCTAGGTGAGATATCCTGTAACCTGTAACCAGCTCCACCCCAACCTGACACCTTGCAGGAGAGCCTGCTGAAGGCCCCCACAGCCTATCCCTGCCCCTCTGCTGGTATGTCCCAGTTATGTGGCCTTGAGCCAGCCACTCCCTCCCTGGGCCTCAGTCTCCTCATCCATCAAGTGGGGACAATAATGCCAACCTCTGAGAGTGCTGCGAGGCTGAAATGCAAAAGGTATATAAAGCAGCAAGCATAGTACCTGGCACATGGAAGAACTTCAATAGACAGTAGCTATTAATATTATTCTTGCCCATGTCTCTGAAGCTTGGTTTCACGATCTTTAAAGGGTTCCAGTCAGTGTCTCCTTCTGCCAAATCCATGATTGAAGTTCTCTTTCCAGGATCCAACAATGATGCCTCTCACCGGCTGGTATATTCTGCCCTCCCTCAAATTCTTTTTTAAATGCTACCTCTACACCTTTGTTCATGCTGTTCCTTCCACCTAAAATACCCTAGATGTAACTACAGTCATGCGTCCCTTAACGACAGGGATATGTTCTGAGAAATGTGTTGTTAGGCAATTTTGTCGCTGTAGGAACGACATAGAGTGTACTTACACGAACTAGATGGCACAGCCTACTACTCACCTAGGCTATATGGTACTAATCTTATGGGACCACCGTCTTATATGCGGTCTGTCATTGACTGAAATGTTATTACGCGGCGCATGACTGTACATACCATTTCTCAGGCATTTAGGACACTCCCGGCTTTTATATCCATCATCAGAAATCTTTACAACTCTCGTTACTATTTCCGTCCTCATTTTATAAATGAAGAAACCAAGGCTCTGCAGCTTAAATAACTGGCCCAAAACCACAGAGCTATTACGTGCTGGAGCCAAGATTCAAAACAGGTGTTTCTGACTAAAAAAATCTCAGCATTTCTACGTCACTATGCCCACCCTCCACCACTATCTTACCAAATCCTGATGAATCAAGGCCCAGTTCAGTGGCACAAGCCTTCCCCAGTACACCTAGTCAGGTGTCCTCTCCCCTTTTCGGGTCCCGTGACTCCTGTATCAGCATCTAAATGCCTCCCTTGCCTTCCTCCAGCCCCCAAGCTCCATAATGACAGGGCCAGGTCAGACTGGCCCCCAATTTCTGCTCCCTGCCTCCACCAGGCTTCTTCACCACACAGTAGGTGCTGGGTCAATTTGTCCCTAAAAGGCCAATATGGGCACCCTCAACCCTAGGGAAGAGCAGTAGACATAGGAGGAGTGTCACCCCCAGATCCCACTGTGCCCCTCAGCAGTGCCTTCTGCTTGGCTGTGGGAGTCACAGAGAGGCAACCTGGGGAACCTTGAGGTGCCCTGCCGAGTAAAACATGTCCAGCAAGGCAACAGGTGTACAAAGAGGAATAGTGATAATAACAAAAAGTAACATTTATTAACCTTTTACCATGTGCCCAGCACTATGCTAAGGAAAAGAGAAACAATATGGTAAGAAAGCTCAGAACAAGGAGGTAGAAAGACACCAGATCAGGAAGGGTCTTGTAAACAACACACAAGAGTCTCCCCTCTTCACCCCATCAGGGTACTGGGAGATAAAGAACTAGAAAGGGATGGAAATAGCATCTCTCTGACTTCTAAGCCAACCTTTGGCGGGGGTGGGGGTTGGGGGGGGAATGCTGATGGATTTGGTGAAGGAAACCAAAAATGCCATACAGGGCGAGGGGCATCAGAAGGAGGGTGGGTGTTTGCTTCCAAATCCTTTCAGAAGAACTAAAGACTGTATGAGACGCAGTTAGAGCAGAGGGAAAAGGCTACTAATAAGCATAATTTGGAGTTGGGAACCCTGGGTCAGATCTGAATCTTACCACTAAGTAGCCATCTGAAAGTTTGTTGCTACGTCTTTGAAGCAGGATAAAATTCCACTCCCTGCCTGTCCTCAGGGGTATCAAATGCAGCTGAAAGGTATACTACCCTACACAAACACTAGGTGTATCCTTTTCTCAACAAGCAGCTGACTTCTGAATTGTCTGCTGTGTTTCCTGTTTCACAGCCGGAGTCTTGTCTCCCCACCCAGTCTCCCCACAGCAGGGTCCAGCCCACCTTCCACCCCACTACTAAAGGGCCCGTCCTCCTCCTCAGGCAAGAAACGGACTTTCACCTTATTGGAGGAGGGACGTTTTCCCTCCCCGTCCTGGGCAGGTTACTACAACAGTACTGGCGGCTCAGCAACTTCCCCCAAGGACCGCCCGCCCCTCCCATGCCACTGAGCAGTCTGGGGTCACCCCACGAGGGATTTACTCAGTAGCTGGCGCTGAAACATGTGGTGGTCCTTCAGCCCGTGTGCACTTTAAGATCACCTGAGAAGCTGCCGGTATTATCACACCGAGGCCCAAGCCTCACCCCTGACCAATTAAATCGCAATTTGCAGGGGTGGGGCCCAGTATCATCGTTGTTCTTTTAAAGCTCCTCAAGTGGTTCTACTACGCCACCAGGGTTAAGAGCCATCATGTTAATGAACTTGATCCCGACCTGAAGCCTCCCGCGACCCCAACCCCAGGGAGCCCTTCTGCAAGGATTCCACCCTCGCCCCTTGAGCCCAAGCTTCTCCCACCCAGACTCTCAACCCACAACCTGACCACCTCAGGGACCCCCGCAGACAGGCCCCAGGACTCCCAGAACGGACAGCATTCCTGTGCCCCCCGGGTCTGTCCTTTGTGTCTGACGGGTCCCCGGTCCGGCCCGCTCCTGCCCCCAGCCCCGGCCGCGTGCCAGCCCCTCACCGCAATCGTGACAGCGAAGCTTAATTCCGCGGCCGCCAGGAGCCAGGTGCGAGCCGCTGCGCCTGCGCACACGCCGCCGGCCGCTTCCCCAGCCTCTCCCTCCGCCCTCGCCCAGCGATTGGCTCCGCGCGGCTCCGGGACCGCCGCCCGGCAGGTGCCCACGCCCGAGGCTGCCGCCGCCATGTTTGTCATGGGCTCTTGCCCTTAGGGACCAAGAGGAGACAGTGGACTCCAGCAAGAAGAGGGTAGGTTGCCTGGATTCCTGACCGGCTAACCCCCTCTGAAATGACTGAAGTGTCCTTTCAGTTCAAATCAAGTTTTTTCTGAGCGCCCCGTTCCGCTCCCCCGTCCCTCCTTAATTCGGAGATCGAAGAGAGCTCGGCACCTTCCTTCAAGCCTTGTGGTCTGACTGGATACACTGCTGAGGCCGATAAGGAGATGGCAGTGGCACGACCTGGGACTCCCTGTTGCTGAATTATGCGTCCTTCAAGAGTAGACAGGCCAAGCGTGAGCTGTGGGCATCAGGGCTCAGGCCAGAGGCGCCAGACCCTGAGAGAACAACCATGCAGCCCAACCTCCTCGTATTGATAATAGTAATAGTAAAATATAAGGAGTACGGAGCTTTTACTCTGTGCCCTGTACTGTGTGAAGCACTCTACGTGCTTATGATCTTGTTGTGTCCTCACATCATCCCTTCGAGGTCGGTGCCATTTTCCTCATTTTACAGATAAGGAAACTGAGGCTCAGAGAGTTTCAGTGACTTCCACACAACAAGCAAGAGGCCCATACAGCTGGAACTCAGCTCTCCTGACTCCCAGAACAGGAGTCTTTCCTCTTCCTCTCCCAGCCCAGGCCCTCAAAGTTGTGTTTTGCTCAGTCTAGTCTGTGGAGGATGTCCCATGTCTTCTCCCAGGCCTGTAAACCTTGTTAGTTTCCAGACAATCAAACAGGACACACTCCAAACCTGCTGTTTCCCTCCCCTGGGAGGCAGGGGAACGAGCATAGCCTTTGGCTTCTGGGGGACCTGAGACTCAGTCCCCTAGCCCCACTGCTTCTTTGTTAAAGGGTCCCTCCTTTTGTGAGCCTCTGTCTTATGCCTTACAGGGATTTTGTGGGCATTAAATGGGAAACGGGTGGAAGAGGTTTTCGAACTTTTGGCCCTTACCCCTTTGTTGATTGTCAACAAGAATATTGTTCTCGGGGCTGGCCTGGTGGTGTAGTGGCTAAAGTTCGCACATTCCGCTTCAGTGGTCCAGGGTTCGCCAGTTCGGATCCTGGGTGCGGACCTATGCAGCGCCTGTCAAGCCATGCTGTCACAGGCGTCCCACATATAAAGTAGAGGAAGATGGGCACGGATGTTAGCTCATGGCCAGTCTTCCTCAGGAAAAAGAGGAGGATTGGCAGTAGGTGTTAGCTCAGGGCTAATCTTCCTCAAAAAAAAAAAAAAAAAGAATATTGTTCTCTTCCTCCTTCCTGACAATCTGGTAAAGGGCCCACCCACAGCAAATGGCCCATGCAAGAGCCCAGAAGCTAGAGTCTGTTCAACCAGTTCCTGGGGAGCCCCCAGGGATCCCATGAACCTTGCCCCCAGCATCCATCTCCCACAGTCTATCTCATTTCCCTCCTCCCCAATCCTGCCCCTTCAGACCCTTTTCTTACTTCCTATGTCCCCCCTAAGCCACACACACATCACCTCTCTTCTAGACTTCAAGCAATTGCAGGAACCCTTCTTGCTCCAGAAAGTTCTCCTGACTAGAAGGAAGGTCACCATTTCTCCTCCATCCCTACCCCTTACCCACATCTGTACTTTCCTGGCTGTGAGTATAGACAGCAGGTAAACCCACCATTCAGCATGGAGTCTGGCACACTAGGGCCTCTGTAGATTGACTAAAGGGGTCCCCCTGCCTTTCCATCTCTGGCCAGCATGTGCCTTTATTTCAGAACAAACCCTAAGTCTTTACCTAGCCCTTCCTGGGTGTCCAGTTGGGAATGGGGGAACGGGGAGGGCTACAAAGGGGCAGAATGGATGTGACCTAATAGGAAATATTTTGGCTATGTTGAACTTAATACACCATGGTTAGACTCTGAGGTCCCTCAGCCCTCTGATTTTACAGACAGTGTAACCAGTTATCCTTTTATGTCAGCACCAGGGCCGGGCCTTGTGATTATCTCTGATTTCCCTTCCCAGCTGCCAAGCACAGACCTAACTGGGAGGGGACATGGGGTGCAACTGAAGGACATATCACATGCCTTCTTGAGATGTATCAGACTCCCTGGATCATGGGACAGATAAATCCACAAGCACTCTGTCTCCTTGAAATTCTCTCTTCCCTTGGCTTCTGACGTCTCTGATCTAGGTTCCACCACTCCTCTTCACTCTCCTTCACTGGGTCACTTTTTCCCAGGGCTTTCTAAACACGGAGGGAGGGTCCCCCAAGTTTCCATTTTCAATACTCTTTTCATTTATTCACTAAAACTTTCCAGACCATAGACTATATGGGGTAAAATGGACTTCAGAAACAAGATTGCTGCCATGAAAAGGAATAAGTGGAACCCAACAAACTGGCAGCCATGGTGACAGTGTGATATGGGCCAAGGGTAGCAGGTGTTTTGGTAACTTCACCTGCTACTTTTCTCTTTATGACTAACCACCCTCCCTCCTTCAGCCTGAATATAAAACTGCTTGCTGGACAGGTCCCCAGATGCCCCACCTGAACTCACCACTCCCTTAACTTCCAATTGCCCACTAGTGTTTTTTAATTTCCAGGATTGCCAGGCAGCCAAGCCAAAAGCATGTGCATCTGCCTCTATCCTACCATCTCCATCCAGGCAGTTATATGGGATCAAGTCCAGGCGAATCTGCTCCCACCTCTTTCCCATCCCCTGCACCTGTTTTGGTTGTCACTTTTCCTGGGTTAATGTGAGAACTTCCTCCAAGACTGGCTTCCAGCCTCTCTCTCACCCCAATCTATCCTCTACTTTGCCCACAACTGAGCTTCTGATTAACTCAGGTTGCTGAATTTTGAAATTTTTCATAATAAAATGCTGAGAGAAAAACATGCAGGGGTGTATCATGGATGCAAGCAACAGAAGACTCCACTCAAGCTAGATTAAACAAAAAAGGAATTTATTGGTTCGTGTAACTTTAAAGTCCAGGACTCAAACGATGTAATCAGGACCCAATTTCTCTCTCTGTCCCCTGGCTCCACTTCTTCTGTGGCTCCATGCTCAGTCAGGCCTTCACCTCTCAATCCAGAATGCTTTCTTTCAGACTTCTGTCCTGGAGGAAAAGAGCACTTCCCTCTCCACCCAACAAGAGAACAAAGTCCTGGGCTTGGCTCCCGTTAGCCCAAATTGAGTCACATGGCTACCCCAAAGCAATCACAACGGCCTGAGGGATGACAGTGCTGATTGGTTTAGCCCTAAATCATTGACTAATTAGTGATAAAATAGAGCCAACTCCCCCAGGATCACTTTACTGAGAATAAGCTGTGGGACCCCAAAAATCTGGGGACTATAACTAGAATCAAGGATGAACTAATGTGGAGAAACTCACAGCTTGGGCCTTATTTTTCTCTTTTTGCCAGACTTCCTCCCCAGACCAGCAAAGGTCTTCAGCAAGCATGTAGGGTCAAATATGAAAATACAGGTTTCTCACCCTCCCAGGTTCCATCTTGGTCTCACACCCTCCCCACCTCCCACCTAGGTGTGACCAGATCCACCTGGGAGAGCAGGAACAGGTGGAGAAACTGGCCAGTCCCAAGGGGCCCATTATTGAGCTCCAGGCTGGGTTGAGGTCAGTCTATAGGTAGGCTTGGACACTGCTCAGGTGTTGGGATTTGGGGGGAAGGGCAAAGTTATAAATAGGAGTGGAGAGGTGCTGTATGGATTTCGTATTGGTGCTGTAACAAATTACCACAAACCTAGTGGCTTAAAACAATACAAATTTATTATCTTACAGTTGTGGAGGTCAGAAGTCTGAAATGGGTCTCACTGGCGAAAATTAAAGTGTTGGCAGGACTGCGTTCCTTTCTGGAGGCTCCAGGGAAGAATCCATTTTTTCCCCTTTTCCAGCTTCTAGAGGCTGCCTGCACTCCTCAGCTCGCGCCCCTCTTCCATCTTCAAAGCCAGCAATGGCTGGTCAACGCTCATGTTACATCACTCCGACTCTTTGGCCTCCCTCTTCGACATTTAAAGACTCTTGTGATTACATTGGATCTAACCGGATAACACAGGATCATCTTATTTTAAGGTCAGCTACTTAACAACCTTAATGCCATCTGCAAACTTAATTCCCTCTTGCCATGTAACAACGTATTCACAGGTTCCCAGGGATTAGGCCGTGCACATCTTAGGAGTGGGAGGGCACACGTTTTTCTGCCTACCACAGGAGGCCTCCCCCAACAAAGGCCACTGTGTCCTGGGACCAGTTCTTAGAGTGGACAGAGGGTGAGGCTCCCTTCTTGGAACTGTGGGGTAGGGAGTGTTAGGTAGATACGCTAGCCCAGTCCTAGCAGCTGCCCTCAACTAGGTCACTGGCCCAAGTTAGACTTGGGAGAGTAGCTCAGTTGGGAATAAATAAATGTCACATCACCAAGGTGAGTGTCAAAGACGTTACCAGAGGGTACCTGGGCTTTAAGGGATGCGGAGAACCTGGGAGAACCTGTGGAGGTGACAGGTAATGCTGCTTGAGTCCGCAGAAGAGGGGGAAGGAAAGTCTGATGGCCTGGCAGCCCAGCAGCTGGGAGACAATATCGGTTTTCATCATCCAGCAACTACCACCCACCCCACTGGGAAGGAGAGAGGTGGAGGGTTGTGCGCTGCAGCAAGGGCCTGGAGCTCAGACAGGGCTCCCCGTCTGGATGAAGTAATCTTTCTTTGCTCCAAGTAGCTTCTGGGATTTGGAATCAGTTGGACTGAGTTCAAATACCACTGCACTATTTACAGACTGTGTGACCCTGGGAAAATGGCCTAACATCTCTGAGTCTCTGGTTCCTTATCAAATGAGAATATCACATGTTCTTCACAGTTAAGAATCAGAAGTTCTTACATAACAGTTATAGAGCAGGACTGTGCGAGAGTCTGAAAGAAGCCCCAGCATGAATTCATGATAAGGCTAATGTCTTGAGACAGACATGGGGTTGAATTTTGCCTTACCGTAACTGGCTGGGTGAATGTGGGCAAGTTGTGGTGAAGCCAACCATGAGTAAAGGCCTCAGCGTCTAGCTTGGAGCCAGCAGGCTCATCCAATGTAGACAAAGGCTGGCTGGCTCCTGGCCAGCTCAAGGTGTTTCCCTTTGCCTGGAAACCGGGAGGTGTGGCTGAGGCAGGCCATGGAGGGGAGTTCAACTAAAAAGTGGTGGAGGGGAATCCTGCTCTGGACCTCTCCGGCTCCCCCAAATGTTGGGGACCAGTTTCTCGGGGCTGAAGGAGACAAGCGAGCGGGGAGCTACCTGGGAGGAGCATTTCAGGGCTGAGGGCTTGAAAAAGCCTTGGGTCCTCATTGCCTGCTGGGAGCCTGGGGTTCGGGCCCAGCCTTGGGACAACAGGTAAGGTGGGAGCTGAACACCTAAAGGGGAGTTCCCCAAAGCCACTAGGCAGCGCACGGGCTCCTGCTGTGACCCGGAGCCCTGGGTTAGCAGGCGGCAAGGACGCATGGCGGAGGTAAGAACAAAGTGTATCCACACACACCCCCACCACAGGTGTGGACCAGGCCCAGGCCGCAGTAAAAATGCCCGCCGCCTGAGCTTCAGACCATGTACTCGTTCAGCTGCCTGGCGCCCGGGGACGGCATCTGGCCTCCGCTGCAGCCCCTCACCTACACCTACCTGCCGGCCCCTCTGCTGCTGCCCCCCATCCAGGCCCACAACTTCTGCAGCCGGCCCCGGAGCCTGAGAGCGGGGGAGTGGGGCGCCCCGCGGGAATACCACTGCTTCCACGGCCCGGGTGCGCCCCTGGGGGCCGTGCCGCCCTTGTGGGTCTTCCCGCAGGCCTACGCCGCCCCCGGCTACCTGGGGCCGTCGCCTCAGGCGCCCGCAGCGGCAGGGATGGCGGCGGCCGAGAGCGCGGCGCCGTGGCCGGAGGGCGGCCGCCTACAGGCTGAGCTGCGCTGGGGCCACGTGGTGCGTGCGCTGGGTCCGCGCCTGGAGCTGCCCGACTTTGTGCGGCGGGAGCTGCGGCGCGTGTACGGCACGTACCCGCGCACCGACGTGCGCGTCACCTACCGCGGCGGCGAGTTCCTGCTGCAGGCGGCTCCGCGCGTGCGCGAGCCCGAGGACCGCGTGCGGAGGACCGTGGTGCGGAGGACCGTGCTGCGCCCGCCCGCCAGCAGCAGCAGCGGCAGCGGGGACAGCGGCCCGGGCCGGAAAGCGGCGGAGCGCGGCTGCGGCGGGAAGAAGAGGGCAGTCCTCAGCTGAGGGCGCCGCACGGCCCGGCGGCCGGCCCGCGTGCGCTCGCGCCGCTCTCCTCCCTGCGCCCGCCGCCGCCAGCCGGGAGGAGGGAGGTCTCAGCTGTGCGTTGGAGCCCAGTGCACCTGTTTTTTTTTTTTTTTTCCTTACCAAGACTGTCCGCTGCCCGCCTCCTGTACTTCTTTGATTTCTCTCACGTTATTGCTGGATGGTGGGGGAAGGACGAGAAGGGATCAAGGACATGTCTGTGTGAGTGTCCTGTCACTCTTTCTACTTGCGCTTGGGAAGCCTGGACGAGAGATGGAAGACGGGCCTGGATCCGTGTTTCCTCTCTCCTTTCTTCTCCCCATCTTCTTTCCCTTAGAAGCCTACCCTGCAATAAGGCCCCACTTTCCCGTTTTCCTCTCCTCCTCTAGCAAAGCTCCCAGAACTCCCCGAGCTGAGGGCCCACCTATTCCCACCTTGTAGTGAAAAGTGAATAAATGAGTGAAGTCAAGTGTATGCTGCAAGATCATTTTTATGTTTGGAGGTGGAAGTATTTCCCCATCTGTGTAATGTTAGCCTTACTTCCCTGCCTGGGGTACAAGGAGTTGTGCCAGGAAGAGGGGTGGGGGGTTGGATTACAATGGACCTCTGGAAAAAGTGTGCCTCCTCACTGGCTGGGCCTAGTTCCCCTTCTCACTAGCTCTCCTCAAGTGTGTAGGACAACACCCTCCTGGGTACTGCGGCCCACCATCCGCAGAGAGATCCTAAGGGCATAAACGCTTTTGTTGAAGCATGTGTGGTGGGCAAGGCTGAGGAAGGGATGCCTAAGACATCGATTTAGAGCTGGCTCTGATATTTTCTGGTCACGTAAATAGGCTCTCTGAGCCTGAGTTTCTTCATCTGTTAAAGAAGTGTAAAACCAACCCAGCCTACCAGGAAAATTCACTAGGGTTGAAAATTTAAGATAAATGTCACTTTTGTCTCCTGATTCTTGCTAACAGTCTTAAATAGGCTGAATTTGCAATATTCTATGAGCTTGCTGGAGGGTTGGGCCACATATCCAATTTTAACTGTGGGTCTATCCAGACCGCCAGATCTGATGCCCAGGCTGTATAAATTTGGCTCCTTGTGGAATTGCTTTTACTGAACTTCCAGTTGTAGCTGGCCATCAGCTATCTGGGTATATAGGTATGTTATTAAAGCTGTAGACCACCACTTGACTGAACAGTGCTTCCTGGAGAAGTCCTCACAAACCTCAGAACTTGGGAAAGCTTTCTCCTGAGGAATGGTTTTCTTTTATCTTTGAAGCACCAAGGATCTCATAACTGATCGTATTTTTCTCTTTGCCCTGGTTTCTAGAGAACTCAGGGCCAAATTTGCTTAGAATATTTTATGTAAGGTCTTGATCCTGAACTGTTACCCCTAGTTATCATATTTCCCTTTCCTTTTTTAAAAAAATTTTATTTTTCCTTTTTCTCCCCAAAGCTGCCTGGTACATAGTTGTATATTTCTAGTTGTGGGTCCTTCTAGTTGTGGCATGTGGGACGCCGCCTCAGCATGGCTTGATGAGCAGTGCCATGTCTGCACCCAGGATCCAAACCTGTGAAACCCTGGCCGCCAAAGTGGAGGGCAGGAACTTAACCACTCGGCCACGGGGCCAGCCCCTTTTTTTAAAGTATAAAAGCACAAGGAGGTGATATAGGGTGATGGGTCTGCTGTGTGACCTTAGATGAATTACTTAATGTCCCTGAGCCAATTTCCTCATTGAAAATGGGGATAATGGTATTAGGACATATCTCATAAGGTTATTGAGACGATGCCATGAAATCCTGCACACAAAATACTTACCACAGTGCCTGGCATGTACTAAGTGCTCAAATATTAGTGTTTGTTTAAAAAAATAGTTTGCAATACAGAAATATGTAATATAGGAAGTTAAAATCTTTTCTAATATCCCTCACCCCTACATGATCCCTGGGGTCCAATCTCTTTTTTTTTCTGTGCACGTAGTATTAGTTACATAAAAGGAATTGCACTGTTTTGCCTGTTGCATTTTACATTAAGTGTATCTTGGACATCATTCCATGCCAGTGCACATACAGCTACCTCATTCTTTAACAGCCACCCAATATTCTATAGCATTTGGATTCTTTCCAGATTTTAGCTATGAAAAGCACATCCAACAAATTTCTTTTTTTTTCAAAGACTTTATTTTTCCTTTTTCTCCCAAAGCCCCCCAGTACATAGTTGTGTATTTTTAGTTGTGAGTCATTCTAGTTGTGGTATGTGGGACGCCGCCTCAGCATGGTTTGATGAGCAGTGCCACATCCGCGCCCAGGATTTGAACTTGCAAAACCCTGGGCCGCTGAAGCGGAGCACATGAAATTAACCACTCGGCCATGAGGCCGGCCCCCGAACAATTTCTTGAGTGCCTGTTATTTGCCAGGAACTTTTGTAGGCCCTGGGGATATGGTAGAGAATGAGACAGCCATGGCAGTCTCTGCCCTTATGGAGCTTGCATTTTAGTGGGGAGACATGAGGATGAGGCAACACGCAAATAGATAAAGGGAAGTTGTTATAAGTACTACAGCCAGAATAAGAGACGGAAATAGAAATGCGAGTGGGCTAGTGAAACTTAGTTTAGAATAAGGCAATCAAGGAAGGCTTCTCTGAGGAGGTGACATTTAAACTGAGATCTAAAGAATGCAAAGACAAGGGTGAGGGAGAAGCCAGGCAGAGAGCATGGTGGGTGCAAAAGCGCCAAGGAGTGAAAGTTATCTTCATTCACTCAACAGTCATTTGAGAGTCCACGAGATGCGGGCAGTATTCTAGGCACTGGGGCTACAGGAGAAAACCACACCAGTCCCTGCCCTCAGGGAGCTTACTTTAGAGGTATAATGTACAGAAATAGAGACTGACAACAAGCAAACAACAATCTGACATTACATGTAATGTCAGGTAGTGGTAAGTGATAGGGTGCTGTTTTCAATAGGATAGTTACAGAAGGCTTCTCTGAAGAGGTAACTCTTGAATGTGGACCTAATAAAGACCTTTAAACCCATTTGAATACCTGGGGGAGAAAAGCCGGTACAACGCCCCTGTGGCTAGAATGTCCTTGTCCTGTGAGCGAGTGGGAAAGTGGTAGTTAATGAGATTAAAGATGAAGCCAGATCCTGTGGTGCCTTGAAGCCATGTTGAGAATTTTGGGTTTAATTCTTAGGGGGTGGAGGGTTGTGAGCAGGGGAGAATGTGATTCAGATTTTTTTTTTTTTTTAGTTATTCTGGATGCTATGTGGAAAAGAGACTGCAGAGGGGCCATTGTGGAAATAGTGAGACCAGCTAGGAGGCTTTTAAAGTAATATAGGCAAAAGAAGATGATACCTTCGGCTTATTTGGAAGTAGTCAGGGTGATGAGAAAATAAATGGCCTTGAATGTGGATCTTTGTTCACATGTACAAGTGTTACATTGTAGAATCTAAAGTCTAAGAACTAGAAATGGAATCATTGAACAATAACACCCTAGTAGCAACAAGCACAGCCAGCCAGCACCCAGATCTCTGGTTCTAAGTCCATTCTCCATTAAGAGAAACCAGGCCTCTTGGAAAAATGGCTGATTCCAGGGCTGCAGCAGGGAAGACACAAGATAAGCCTGGAACAACGTGTACCAGAAAATAAAGGACAGCTCAAAAATGTCAAAAGAATAAAGGAGCCAGCTTGAAGGGACTTCCACTGATCAAATCAAGGACAATTTAAGCATCAAAACAAATGATCACAGTAGCAGATTATAACCTACTGAATAGAATAAGGATCCGTAAGTGCATACTCACATTAACTAAAGAAATAAATATGAAAGGAAAGCTCTTCCTAACAGTAAAAGGAATAATGAAATTGGAAAGATGACCATTCTCGACCATCATTGTAATAACTGATTCAGGTGAGAATCATTCATAGATACTAAAACTAATGGGTGAAAGTTTGATGAGAAACAGGATATTTAAATAGTTTCAAAGTATGTTCCAATAAAATATTTATTAGTTACAAAGTAAAAACTAGTAACCTAGTAGTGTGGTAGGGAAAACTGGTCCATGACACTTTAACTTCATTGCAGTAGTGCCACTTGAATAAAGTTTTGCTTACCGTCTTTATCAAGTGTCTTGAAAAATTTTTCTTTAACAGAGAGGGATTGACATCATGTACTTTCTGATATGTTAAAGTGAAAAAGCACAACATCAATTCAGCAGTAATGCATAATTGTGAGGAAACATCAGATAAACCTAAATTGAGAGATAACCCCACTGGTCTTTATCGTTCAAAATGTGAATGTCATAAAAGACAAAGGGAGGCTGAGAAATTGTTTCAGGTCAAAGGAGACTAAAGAGGCATGGAAACTAAATGCAATGCAAGATCCTGTTTTGGATTCTGGACCAGAATGAAAATTGTTACAAAGGACATTATTAGGACAAGTAGTAAGATTTGAATAAGGACTATAGATTAGAGAAAGCAACATGGCAAAAGGGTAACAGTTGGTCAATCTGGTAGAATGGTAAGCAAGAGTTCTTTGAACTATTCTGGCAACTTTTCTGTAAGTTTACAATAATTTCTAACTAAATAAAAATAGTAATAATAAGTAAACTGAATCTCTGGGTCAAAAAGGATACATATTTTAAATGTACTATATATCGGGGCTGGTCCAGGTGGCCGAGTGGTTAAGTTCGCACACTCCAACTTTGGCGGCCCAGGGTTTTGCGGGTTCAGATCCTGGGCGCGGACATGGCACTGCTCATCAGGCCACGTTGAGGTGGCGTCCCACATGCCACAGCTGGGAGGACCCACAACTGAAAATATACAACTATGTACTGGGGGCATTGGGGGAGAAAAAGCAGGGGAGAGAAAAAAAGAAGATTGGCAACAGTTGTTAGCTCGGGTGCCAATCTTTAAGAAAAAAAAGAAAAAGAAAAAAAATGTACCATATATCTATGTCACAGAATTTATGTTTTGTTTTGTTTCTTTCCCTCCCCAAAGCCCCAGTGCATGGTTGTATCTCCTACTTGTAAGTCATTCTCATTCTAGTTCTTTTACGTGAGCCACTGCCACAGCATGGCAACTGACAGACAGGTGGTGTGGTTCTGCGACCTGGAAGCAAACCCGGGCCACCAAAGTGGTGAGTGCCAAACTTTACCCACTAGGCCATCAGGGCTGGCTCGATTTTATGTTTTAACCTTGGAGAATTGTCTGCATGCTGGTAAGCCTCCTCAAATCCTTTTTGGAAACAAGGCAGGTCTCAAGTAAATCATGAGTCCCACACTGAATAAGATGTGTTCTGTGTCCCCTTCCCTCTCTATCCTCTGAGTCCAGACCCCTGAAGTCTCCCAGCTTCCCCCATCTCTGAACAACTTCTGCACTGCTCACAGACACTCCCCCCAAGGCTTCCACTTATGCCTTGAAATGCCCACAGGCTGCATACAAGTTTACCTCTATCCCCCAGGCCTGGTGAGGGAGGGCAGCCCCTGATTACAGGCTTTTTGAAGAAGGTGCTGTCACTCAGCCCAGCCTAGCATGCCACACACGTACTTCCAACCCCAGTGCATGCTCTCCAGGCCCTGTAGACGTAAGGGAGCCCTGCAGGGAGCCTAGATGCTTCCTTCTTTGAACTGAACCCTTAGAAGCTTAGAACTCATAAAACATCTGGGCTGCCAGGGACCTTACTGTTCACCTGCCCCAACCCCCTCGATGTACATTATGCTTGGAAACCAAGGCCAGAGAGAAGGAGTGACTCACCCAAGGTCACACAGTAGGTGAGAATCCAGAGCTCCTAGATCCCAGCAGGGCTTGGACCACCAAACCCTGATCCTGATGGCCTCTTCCTCCTGGCCCCAGTGTTACCCAACCCTGGCATCTGGTCTGGAGCCCTTCACTCAATAAACCCTGACTGACAAATTTTAAGTCCTATCCTACCTCCCAACTGGATAGCTCACATTCTACTTAAGGGAGGATAATAAGAATCATAACAACCTCACACACTTAACTGAGAACCTACTATGTGCAGGCACTGAGCTAAAGCCCTGTATGGAAACTATCAGCTCACTTAGTTTAATGTTCACAAAAGCTTGATGTGGATATAATTATTACAGATGAGGAAACTGAGGGCTATAGAGGTTAACAACTTACCCAAGGTCACACGTGGAAAATGCAACTGGGAAATCTGATTAGCTTTAACCTCTAGGCCAAAGTGCCTCTCATATACATGAGACACACTCAGCAAAATGCAAGGAAAACTTATTGAACAGCTACTATGTGCAGAACCCTGGGCTAGATATTATGGGGCTCATGAATCGAGCCCCACTGGAGAGGAGTGGGGGGATTTGCAGAAGATAATATGTACCGCTGGGGAGTTGAGAGAGGCTTCTTGGAAGAGGCATCTGAGAGAGGCTTTGAAGGATGTATAGGATTCCAACGGATAGTGATGGGAAGGAGGTGTCCCCAGAAGAATTGAGGAAGGGTCAGCATGAGTACAAGCATGGAGGGCAGGTTACGAGCAGGGAGCAATGGAAGATCAGGCTTCTAAGTGGAAAAACTTTAATGGCAAGGTAAGGAGGTTTGGGGAGCCATCAAAGTCTTTGAGCAGAAGAGTAACCCAAGTTGCAGTTATTAAAAGATCTGCCCAGTGGCAGGATGGGTGCCTGGAGGAGCGCCTTGCTGGGATGCTATGAACCTGAGCCAGCGGCTTCCCCCTGACCTCAGTATTGATGGTGTAGCACAGCCGGGCACCAGAACTGAGTCCCTAGGGCATTTGCTGGAGCTCACAGCCTATGGAATTCAGTTCTCAGAGCCAGGTGGCCAAAGTTCTCTCAGTCTTGATGCTGCCCTCCCATGCTCTCTTCTGGGAATTTTTCCCATTTCCAGGATGGGTCAGATGAGGAACCTGGGATTCCAAGATTCCTCCTATCCCAGGGAGGGTCTGAGCTTGGACCTGAAAATAGGGCCCCACAGTTAGGGAAAGGGCAAGGGTTCTCTAAATTCCAACAGGAATTGATGTAGGACATGAGGGGAGGGGGCTCAGGGGCTCAGGTAGGGATTCCATAGGTACTTGGGAGTTAGTCCCATCATCTCCTGCCCAGACGTGCTCCTCAGGGGCTCAGGTAGGGATTCCATAGGTACTTGGGAGTTAGTCCCATCATCTCCTGCCCAGACGTGCTCCTGGTGGAGCCAGATGTCGAGCTGGAGGGGCAAAGGACTGGGGGAAGAGCCAGAACATGTACACTGAGAAGGGCATCTCTCCAGAGGCTGAGGGGCTTCCTGAGCCAAAGGGGACGCCAAAAATGTGGATCCCCAACATAGGGGCCCAGGAGTCCCAGCTCCCTGAAAATCTCCACACCTGAAGGGAAAATCTGAAGTACCTGGAATAGGCAGGGCAGTGGAAGGGAAGATTTCCCGAAACACACTTTCACTTTCTGGAGAGTTAAACTGAGGGCTGCGGTGCTGTTCCCACTCACAAGGCAGAGCCTATCCCTGGAGAGGGAAAGGCAAGCCGGCAGGCTCAGAAGCCACCCTACCCCCACCCTGCTTGAGTTGGGAGAAAGGGGGTCGCACTTACCAGTGAAGGCTCCTCTCGCTCTTGGGGCTGGATCTGCAGTGATGCTCTCAGAGAGTGCTCCTTAAATAGGGCCCCCACCCCGCCCCAGCCAACTCCCACCCCTGCCCCATCCTGGCTCTTCTGAGAAAGGAGGAAGGTGTGGGAGGGCTGGGCACCCTGCCCAAAGAGCCCTTTCTGACCTCAAGCAAGAGGGGGGACACTTCTCCAGCACCCACCCCCCCATCCTTCGAAGAATCCTCTTCCTCAACTCAGTCACTGACTGAGTTCCTCCCACCCGTTGAGACCAGCCAGCTGGCTTCTTTCTCTGCTCTTAATGTCTGAGAAATCTGCCCTTTATGCCTACTTCGAGCCTAATTTCTCTCTGAGGTTGGATGGTGAGGCGTCGGTGTGCACGGGGAAGCTTCAGCATAGGCTTCTAGCTTTTCCCCTCAGATGAGGAGACCCAGGCTCCCAAACACCAGCTGCAGAATTCCTTTGAGGGAATGGAGAGAGAGGAGCCATCATGGACCTCCTTTCACCCCGTGTGGCTTCAAGCAGCACTCAAAGGGCAAGTGGAGTCTATTCCTGTCTTGGGGAGGGAGAGACTAAGACCCAAGGGGATGGAAAATCAACGGCTTAAGGTCTGGCCAGCTGTGGAATGCCAAGCAGGAGAGTGTTCCCTGGAGCCCCTACCTTATAGTCTGTGTGTGTCCTTGTGTCTGTGGTGGTCCCTCTCCTTAGCCCACCCTCTCTCCTCTGACCCCAGAACCTGACCCCTGCTGCACAGAGTTGGGACCCTCCAGAGTTTGAGTTGGAAGTTGAGAGGCTCCCCCTAAGTGATCTTTCCCATCATCCTTCCCCAAAAGCTCGGGAAGTTCTTTCCGATGATGTTATCTAGCTACATCCAACTGGCATCCAAGAAACAGGCAGTCGGGGAGGAGGGAAAGGCGCAGTGTCAGCGATGGCTGCAGGGGTCTTGGGCCAGAACTAGGGACAGTTCTAGTGAGGAAACCTGAAATTTCCCGTAATGAGGGTGGTAGGGAGAGAAGAGTCATCGGTATTGTGCAATGGAGGGGGAGGAGGCTGGGGGGCTGGGTGAGGGGAGGAGTGGCCATATCCTTAGAGGGCTGGCAGAGGCCCGGGCCTGACTGAACTACCCATCACCCCCTTCCCAGGGGCCTGCCTGGCCAGAGTTCAAAGTGGCTGTTACCCCACCCCTCATTAACCCCAGCAGCGCCAGGCTGGCAGCACCAGTGTGTTTTTATGGGAGACGCGACGCCAAACGGGCTCCTTCCTTCCTCCCTCCCCTTTCCTGCCTCCTCTCCTCAGCAGCCAACATCTTGCTCTCTCTGAGGCCAGAGGACCCTGGTGGGGAGGTGGGAGCCTGCAGTGAGGGACAGGACTGGAGGAGGGAGCAGGGATCCCCTTTTTCTCCATATTTTGGCACTGCCTCAGTCCTTAGGGGAAAGGATGCAACTTTCTACCTTGGGCTGTGGGCTCCTAAGGGCAGGCACAGTCTCTGAGTCCCCAGCACCCTACAAGAGGACTAGCTCTGAAGAGGGATTCATCCCTGCTGATTGGAGATGAACTAGCTTATCCTTTAAGGGAATTCTTTTCCTCACAACCCACTGTGGGCTTCCCCTCAGGGTAGAACCAGGAAGTTGAGGTGGCAGGAACAGAAAAGAGGAAGCTGAGGCCTGCTGGGTCCTGGAGTTCAGCTGCCCTGTTTTAAATGAGAAGCCCCACCAACATGGGCATGAAGGCACTGGGGTAGGCATGGCCTGCAGGCCATCCAGGGTCTGGGCTCAGGTGCATCCTCACTCAGAGCACCTGCTGCCCTCCCTCCATCCAAACCAGGCTCCATGGTCCTGAGACTGAGGATGGAGTTAGAATTTCCCTGGATTGTGGTGAAACTGTGCCTTGTACCCACAAGATTAAGGGAAACAAAATAACCAAGGTTTCTGAGCTTGCCTTGCAGAACAGCAGGAGGACCGCTGATACCAGAGGAACTTGCTGACAGCCTCCTGCCTGCCTAAGCCTCTTGCCCGAGCATTGAGAAGCTAAAATGACTGATTGTAAACTTTAAACTTCAAAGACCAAAACTCCACTGTGTGCAACACATAGAACAGATAGTCATGCCTGTGCAGAAGACTCAGAACTTCAGCGCCAAGGCCACGTGCTCCCCCTCCCCTACCTGAAACCCCAAATAAAAACCCTTGTCTGTAACTTTTCGGGGAGTTCAGGATTACAGCATTAGCTGCCTGTTCTCCCTGCTCAGCACTTTGCAGTAAAATTCCCACTTTCTTCCACTACACCCTGTGTCAGAGATTGGCTTGCTGCGCAATGGGTGAGTAAACTCACTTTAAGTTCGATATCAAATTTGGCGACCCAGATGGGACTGTGTTCAATGTGGACGTCTCACCTCTGGCACACCAGCCTCTGGCTAAAGGCCTCTCTTGGAGGCTGTCCTGCAGCTGCCTGAGCCCCTTGTCTCAGGGACAACCCCAAGCAACTGGCTGCTGACCAGACATCGTTGGCCCACGGCACTTTTGCTTTTGGTGGTGGAAGAAGCAAGGTTGGGGATTTGGGAAGATATCTCTTGTAAGTAGCTGGCAGTTTTTGTTTTTGTCTTTGTGCCAACCTTTTCCAACAGGACCAGCCAGAAATAATGGGTACCTGGCAGCCCTCTGGGTTCCATTTGCTTTGGTTTGCAATGGACATCCTTTTGTTGAGTTTCCTTGTTAACTGACTGGAATCTTATTTTTCCTTTCATTTGTTTGCCCGTTTCAGGGGTTTTGTTCAAGGTTACTGGAGTTTGTTCATGGAGGACCCCAATTTTTTGAAAAGACTAGAGATTTTTCACTCACAGAGGAACTCTTGGCCCCGTTTGTCTTGATATGTGTGCGTGTGAATGGTGCCACAATGGGAACTCAGATTCAGTTCCCCGTGGCAGCCGTCTAGGGTGTATATTGCAAAATTGAAATGTTTTCAATTATGAACCTATGAAGAGGAAAAAAAAGCCAGAAGGCAGAAATTACAATGAGAAATCTGACCAACCGTCATTTGGGGCAACAGTTAAGCCACTAAGGTTGATAAAATTATAAAGATTAAAATGTTTGAGCTAATATTTTATAAAGAGGTTATGTCAACTTTGCCTGAGTGTTTTTTGGGAATGGATGTTATCTCTAGCTGGGAATGCTTCCCCTTGTTAATGGAATCTTAATGGAAGCTATGATTAGAGGTATAAGAGTTGATAAAATAAAGATAAAACCTTGTAAAAAAAATTGGTATATTTAAGTGGGCTTTTTGTGAAATGATTGTATCTCTTTTGCCTGTTTGATAGATTATGTTGTGGGGATAAACATTGTGTCTCACTGGTGAAAGTTTCCCCTGCCTGATATTGTAAGAGCATATACATCCATCCTTCAGGCAATGTTGGTTAAACATGCTAAAGGAGATTTCACTTTAAAATGGCCATTCTGGGGAACCTTGTTTCAGATGAATCCACTTTGAGGGTCACCGTTAAGAGAGAGAGAATTCAAAACCTAAATGTGTTCTTTGATTAATATGAAGAAGCTTCTAAAAGACAAAATGACTTTTAAAACATCTCTTAAAAGGATCCTAACAGCAAAAAGAAAAGAATCTTTTGTAAAGATCTTTGGCCATCTGAACAGGTTCATCTGCCAGAGGCACAGTTTGGATCCAACTGTTCTTTTGAGTTTTGTACCAGAGACATGGTTAAAATTTTGAAGATCTCTGTTTGTGTTTATCTGTATGTTTATATGTGTAAGTCTCTCTATGTATTTGTCTTTCTTGGATGGTATAATTTCTGTCTTTTTTTTTTTTTTTGAGGAAGACTGGCCCAGAACTAACATCTGCTGCCAATTCTCGTCCTTTTGCTGAGGAAGACTGGCCCTGAGCTAACATCTGTGCCCATCTTCGTCTACTTTTTATATGTGGGACTCCTACCATAGCATGGCTTGACAAGCAGTGCCATGTCCTCACCCGGGATCTGAACCGGCAAACTTCGGGCCGCCAAAGGGGAACGTGCGAACTTAACTGCTGCGCCACCGGGCCGGCCCCTGGATGGTATAATTTCTGAAGGAGTTCTATTTAATTGGCTTGAAGTCAGCACTTATATAAATTTTTTCTAAATGTTATAGAAACTAGCCCAGAGGTCTTTCAAGTTAACATGATATAAAATGATCTTTGGCAAATAAGAGCTTGTTTAAGTTTGTTGGTTTAATTGAAATAAATGTGATTTCAGCGTTATCAACATTGGATATGATACAAACATGTTATCTCTATTACAAAATTTGTCAGCAAAAAATAATAACTTAGTATAATAGTTAATTTTGTTTGATGTCTCATGAGGTTTTTGTAGGCAACCTAAATATAATTGTTGAGAACAGGTAAACTAAATAGGTGCAAAAAGGATGAAAGTTTTTTGGGGAACTTTTTAACAATAATTATGTGTTATGATGTACGTATTTAAAACATCTTAAAATGATGGCTAACTGCTCTAATGTCACATGAAGTTTCTGTGAGTAATCTAAACCTAACTGTTGGGAATAAATGACTTAGATAGATGAAAATGGGTAAAAGTTTTTGAGTGCAATAATTGTGTTTTATGGTCTGTGTACTTGAAAAACAGCTTCCAAAATCTTTTTGGCAACTTGAAACTTCAGAGTTTTGCTAAATTAAATAATAGAAATTTATTGAGTATCTAGGTCATTTCCATGTAATAAAAAATATTAGAAATTGATTACTAAGCATAGATTTGTCTGCCTTTGGTTTCTTATCTCAGAGAAACTGAAAGATGCTTAGATTTACTGATAAACATGTTTCATGTATGATGGGGAATTTTCTATGAGAAAGTACATATTTCCGTATACAAGGAAAGTAAAATGTATATTTTCATGAAAGAAGGTAAAAAGAATAGAGGTATTTTTCTTAGTTTTCTTAAGAAAGATAAATTTGCCCTAAAGTACTAGAAAAGAAAAAAAGGAAAGAAAACAGGGAACAAATGCTGAATGTAAAAAGCAAGTGACAGAAGATTTGTGGACATAAAACCCTGAGGAATTTTGTGCATGGTCAAGCTGGCTGAGATTTAAATGAATTCAATTAAATGAATGAGTTTCAATATCAAGCGTAAGCTGGTGAAAAATTAGCATTTGGCTTTCTCTCTTTTGAAAGGATGATCTTTCTGAACTTTTGGTCTGCTCTTGACAAAGAGGCTATAAAAGATTTCTCTTTATTTTTGAGTGAGTCTACCTAAAAGGCAAAAAAAATCTATGTTTTGTTAAAATAACTTCTTATCTTCAAAAAGACTGAGGTCTCTTTATTAAGGTTTTAAAAAAAATTATTAATCTGTTTAAACTCTCTCTATTTGCCTTTGACATCTTCTGTTGTCACCTTGATTGAATGGATAAGTAAGCATTGTTTCCTATTTGACCAAGTGTTTTAAACCCTTTTGATATTTTTGACAAATTCTCCCAAGGTTCAAATCCTGGGTAACGTCTTTCTTTTGACTTAAAAAGGAACTTTGAGAATTTCCAATGGGCCCTGGGTCTTCTCAAAGAATGTCTTCTCTCTTTCTATAAAGAGAGATATTAAAATAATTAGACCTATTTGGTGTGTTAAATTACATGGGAAGCATTGTCATATAAATGATGATAAACCTTCCTGGCGTTATTTTGTTTGGGAAAATGTTATTAATATCAGTGTTTTTAAAAATTATACAACATTCCTAAAATTCTGACCTGTCTTGGTTATCAGTCATAATTCAGGTTGTTATCTCAAACTGTTATATGTCACAGAAATGGTCAAGTGTCTTTTGTCAATTGCCATTTTTTAATGTTTCGTTATTTGCAGACAGTTGTTGTTTTACTCTGATGTTTTTGCAGATGTGTTTCATCTTTAGAGAGATTCATGGAAAGGACTCTGACACTTGCTCTAGAATGCAGGTTTCTGATAAACTTGCAGATTATAAACTGAGCTGGATAAAAAATTACAGAACTCTCATGGAGAAACCAATGGCCTCGTAAAACTGCTAACAGAAGATCAGGATCAAGAATTAATTACAAGGGCCAGCCCCATGGCTGAGTGGTTGGGCTCATGCGCTCTGCTTTGGCAGCCCAGGGTTTCACCAGTTCAGATCCTGGGCATGGACCCGGCACCACTCATCAAGCCATGCTGAGGGGGCATCCCACATGCAGCAGCTAGAAGGACCCACAACTAAAATATACAGCTATGTACTGGGAGGATTTGGGGAGAAGAAGGAAAAATAAAAAATAAATTTAAAAAAGAATTTATTACATGAGACTGAATAAATTGATGAGTCATAATTTTTATGACTTTTTGTTTGAAATATGCTGATTTCTTAATGTTTTGTTTTTTCAGATTTAAGAAAATCTTTTTTTCTTTTCACTCTTTTCTTTTTTTTTAAGATTTTATTTTTCCTTTTTCTCCCAAAAGCCCCCCAGTACATAGTTGTATATATTATTTAGTTGTGGGTCCTTCTAGTTGTGGCATGTGGGATGCCACCTCAGCATGGCTTGATGGGTGATGCCATGTCCATGCCCAGGATCCAAACCAGTGACACCCTGGGCCGCTGAAGCAGAGTGCGCAAACTTAACCACTTGGCCACAGGGCCGGCCCCTCTTTTCTCTTAAGGAACTATGCCTTATAGCAATTTGTAAGCAGAATTGAAGCATTTATCTCTTTCTCCCTACCTGATACTTTGAGAATTTAAAAACTCTTGATGAGTGAGTATTCTTATTTTTATGGTGATATAGGTATTTACGTAAGTTCAATAAGAATCTGTTCTCCTTATAGTAGGACACAAGTGGAAACACTGGTTATATTACCCCGACTTTGACTGGAATGTCATATTTGAAAAAAGTGTATAAACTCAGATATGACCATATAACTTTTGAGGAACAAAGGTTGTCTTTATGAAATAAAGCCACTTGGAAATATTGGCCTGGTACCTTGCGAACAGGATACCCAGGAACCTTACCAGGTGAGTAAAGAAGGTCACTTCCCTGGCAGGTGCAAGAACCTAAGGATGTTTGAAGGATCTCGAGAAGAGAGGAATTCACCCAAATCTGTGGGTGTTTCAGGCAGAATCTGATGACAAGTCCTTCGCTTGGCTTTCCTGGCCTCAAGAGGCCTTTAAAGTTCAATCTGAGATTCCTTACAAAACGTTCCATCAAAGCAGATTTAAAGGAGCCTCTATGATCAATTGCTGTTCCTGCTGTAGTTTTGTAAATGGTTTCAAGTTTACTGAAACTAGACTTATTTTGTGAACCAATCAGTCTTAATTTGACTATCTTCAGTAAAAATGAGGGTGATTTTAGAGAGAAAAATTGTGTTTCAATAGAAACTATAATACACATTTGTGGATATTAGATTCTGGTTCTGTTAATTGTATTTGAGATTTTAGTTTTCTATCTGCAAACTGAAGCTTGACAACTTGATGTAAACTTAAGAGAGAACACCATGCTAGCCCATATTTAGAAAATCTTCATGCCTGTTGCTGTATAAACCACTCAAAAAGTTTGCCTGAGCACCTGATGACATCATCAGAGACATTTCAAACTGTAGGGGATACTTCAACCCTGACATCTAGAAATCTTGACGGGTCATCCCCTGGGCTCAGGAATTTATTTATAATTTGCTCCACCCATTAACCTTGTTTTCGTTTTGTTTCTCTAGAAATGCTTCTTATTAAGTACCTGGTTACTTGCTTACAGAATATAGGCCTAGCTTTGGGAGACCCTTCCTATGTTCTAGAGATGATCCAAAAGAACCAGAGAGAACTCAAATTAAGGAACTAGACGCTGTCAGATGTTCCTCTGCATCATCTTTGTAGTGGAGACTGAATCCTATTAAAGTCCTGAAAACACAAGCACCCAGAAGATCAACTTCATCCCCACTGAATGGGACCATACAAGAAATGCCACAAGGGAACAGAAACCATGCCATAGAAGAACATCACAACCAGGATCACCCAAATCTTGGCTGGCTTCATACTCTAGACACTCACTTCTCTGAATGGACAAATGAACCTCTGATAGACCTCAAGTTGCTATACAGAAGACAGTCTCCTAAAGATAATAAATGACTCTCAGATTCTTACCTTACTTGTTGGACTACTAAACAGCATGCTATTTAGTTACATCAGATTTCACTTGAAGTTCCAGGCCCTAACCTTGATTGGTTTACAGGCCTCTTCTCCTGGATTCCCCAAGGAGTAAGGTCCATTGTGGAGGGGATACTAAAATTTTGGTTGTGTATTTTGCTAATATGTGTGGTTGTCTATGTAATCATAAAATGTGGACTTATGTGTTGTTCTGAAGACATTGATCAGAGTAGTAAAATATTAGTCATGCAGAACATACCTCACTCTCCCCCATCTGGTACCCAAGAATATTTTTTAAATAAAGGTAGAACAATTTCATTTCTCTGACCTCAAACTTTGCCCTTTCACAGCAAGACGCAGCTAGAGCAGTCTTCACCCCCATTTCCCAAGATTGAGGAATGATCAAAAGAGAGGGGGGCATTGAAACTGAGGATGAAGCAGTCAAAATTTCGCTGGATTAAGGTGAAATTGTGCCTTGTACCCACAAGATTAATGTGGGAAACAAAATAACCAAGGTTTCTGAGCTTGTCTTGCAGAACAGCAGGAGGACCGCTGATACCAGAGAAACTTGCTGACAGCCTCCTGCCTGCCTAAGCCTCTTGCCCGAGCATTGAGAAGCTAAAATGACTGATTGTAAACTTTGGATGTCACAGACCAAAACTCCACCGTGTGCAACAGATAATCATGCCTGTGCGAGGACTTT